GGGGGGGGTAGGGGCGGGGGGCTGGGGGAGGGCGGGGGGGGGTCTCAGTCTCAGGTGGTGAGCGCTTGGTCCGGCGCCTTCGTGGCGAAGAGGAAGGAACTGGACTGTGGGGAGGAACGGAGAAGGTCTCTTCACCCTTCCCAGGGAAGGAGGGAGGTGATCAGACAGGTACAATGTGGAGGCCTAAGCTGTCGCCCTGCAGTTTCATGTGGTTTCCATGGTAACTAGTGGCGGTCATAGGCAGCGGCAGCAGTGGGAGGTGCGGAGCCCCGGGATGTGGCACTATAATAATAAGGGGAACCTGAAAGTTAACACAGGAGAAGAATGGACTGGTTGAAAGGACAAACAGTAAAAAAAAAAAAGAAAATAAAATAAAAAATAAAACAATCAAACGAAGAAAAGAAACAAAGGAGAACTGAAAAAGGAAAGGAAAGGAAGGAAGAAAAGGAAAATAACCTAAAAAATAAACTTGGGGACTCAGCTTTGTATGGGATTAGGGAAAGGCAGTCAGTGGAGGCCAGCTGAGGACTGTGTTTCAGTGGAGAGAGTCTACTGTGGCCTCTGGCTCTGAAGCCCCTCTATAAAGGAGATCCTCTTGCTCCTTCTGACTGTCAGTAAGTTGCTGAGAGGGAAGTTGGTGAGCATTGCAGCACAAATACACCATATCTGATCCATGGCCACAAGGAAAGCGTCAGAGTCAGATGTTCTGAGCATACCTGACAAAGTATAACAGGTCACTTTTAAAGCCAGGAGGGGAGAAATGAAACAAAATTACCATGTTTTATGGCCGAGGATTTTGGTCATATTTGGTGTGAAAGCTCTCTAGATGGTTATTGAATATGTATTAAATAGTGATTGATTGATTATTGAGATCACATTTACTGAGATTTAACAACACTGGAGTAAAATGTGCACCTATTATTCAGTTGTTAAATCTCAGTAAATACGTAGGTAATAATTACAGCTGATTCATTTCACTTATAATAAATCTCTTGCTATTCCCTTGCAAAGAAATGTTGTGTTAGAAGGTAGGGCCTTCTTATAGGAGGGTTTTCTCCCCTCTGAAAAAAAAAAACAAACCCAAATCCAAAACCCCAAAATAAAAAAAAAAAAAAAAACCCAAATCCAAAACCCCAAAACTATTTCTGGGCTTATTAGTCACTGAAGAGGAATACGTCCCTGCAAGAAAACTCTGGTGTCTGTTATAAACCTAGTGATGCAGCCTGTCTCCCACACCAGACACTATTCTACCTGGTCTCACAGGAAGAACTTCTATGGGATTTCCAGATACCCAGGTACTGACTCTGGGTATAGCTTGGGAGAGGGGTGAAACTTCATCTAGATTTTTGATCAGACCTTGAATGGATGCTGGTTGCAGCCTGAGAGAGTAGCAGAACCTGAATATAACTTCTGATCTAATCTGGAAATAAACTGTGGATGCAGCCCATAGGGAAGCCAGAGCTAGAGTGGAATTGTGAACCATCTTGTGAAAGAGGAATCATCTGCAGCACTTATACAAAGCACATGTGAAGTATATACCCATCTAGACACTGGTCTGGAGAGTGAGGAAAAGGCCTTTCACCTGCCCAAATACTTGAAAATCCTTTTTGGAAACAAACAAACAAACAAAAAACCAAAGGAAAATAAAGAGACAAACAGAAGGAGCGCGAGGCTGGGGGTGTGCTGTGGGAAAAAGGTACTCACTTAGTAATGCAGGGTTGCCGAACCGTTTTCCAGGCCTCGTTGTAGGTTGTGTACTGAGGGTGGCTGTAGGGGTTCCCTGAGAACTCGCTCCCTGGAAGAAATCAAGGAAGGTGTAAAATTCAGTTAGGAATGAAGAATTATGTCTGCTGTTCCATCCATCCAGTGTTCATGCTCAATCATGTCAGCATGAAAACTAGCGCGTGTAGCTTCCTTGCCCAGACGGGACTGTGCCCTTCAGGAAATTGTAGTGTTTGTTCAGCACAATGTTGCTCCCCCATGGAGTTAAAAATCGTATGATCGACCTCTTCAGAATAAAAAAGATAGCTTAAAATTATGAAATTCAATAATACAAATTAATAAACTGGGTTTTTTTGTTGCCCTCTGACTTTTGCTTCTCAGTTTGCAGTAAGATTGCATATGTAAGCTTTTTCTGCAATTAACTATCAGCATTCTTTTAAATAAAATCTAAGGTTCTCCAGTAGTGTCAAGACAGTAGGCATGGGAGCTTGAGAGGAAAAGCTTGCAACAAACTCACTGAACTGGCAGTGCTGTTAATGGCAGTTTATATTGCTAAGTTTTATCCACAGGACACTGAGAGTGATGGTGTTATTTGTGGAGAAGAATATTGTTTGCCTTTGGAAATGTTCTCAGGCTGGGATGGCTTAAATATAAAACCCAATGGAAAATATATGAATCATTCTTTTTTACTCTGTATGATAGTCACAAAAGTGGTTCATACATAATTAATCCCACCTTTATGCTTAGTTAGTGAGTTACAGAGAAAACTTGCTGTATTCCAGGTCCAGAAAATAATTTTTGAATAATTAGCATTTTAGGTACTATTCTAAATCTGAAAGACAAGCTGGACTACAGCTCCCTTTTTCACATTCAGTAAAATGGGCCCAAACCAAAATACCTGTGAGCTTTGTGATCTAGTAAGACTCTGACCCAAGATTTTAATGTTGTCGATTCTTCTTAAATATTCAGTTTTGTTGTGCATGAGGAGTTGAGTCTCCCTGTTTTACAGAAGACTGCACAGGGCTAAGGGACTTATATTTGGTAACTGAGGAGATATGGTGCTGCATTCAAAATAAATAAATCTCCCAGAACTTAAAAATATATGAATCTGTTAAGTAAAACCATGCTGTTATCTGCTCGTAACCTCAGTTCAATGCTGTACCAACAGACTGGGGTTAATTAGTGCCATCTGAAAGGCATTAGTGGACTTAAAAGACAGTGAAAGACTATTAGCTGCTGGTTTGCCCTGAGGCAGGGGTGGAGTTGTTACAACAGAAGTGTTTGGAAGGCACCTGGGCTTCCTGCTAGATGCCATGGAAAAGGGAAAGAAGGCAATGCAAGAAGCGCTGGATATCTGTGATGCAATTACCAAATAAATGTCAATTTCTTACACTGGAATGTCTACAAATCTCCTCATACCAGAGAGGTGATGCTAAAACCACAGATTCTCTGATGGTGGAAATTAAGTCCGTTGAAGTCAGGGGATTTGCACTGGTTTAAACTTGAGGAGAATCTGTCCCACCAGTCTTTTGAAAGACACTCAGGGCAAAAGCAGCCAGTATAAAAATGTGTGTGCATCAAAACCAACATCATGTCAGCATTTTCCTCATGATAGTGTTTTTTGTTTTTTTTTGTTTTTTTTTTTTTAGTTTCAGCATAAAATCCTGTCTTGTGTGACAAACCTTGCTAAATACTGTTTTAATTATAATAGCTCATCACATTTCCATATCTAGAAACACAGTGCACTGAAAATTGTGACAGCTAGCTGGGAAGGAATGGGTTAAACCTGCTAAAGTGACCAAGCTGCTGTGGGATAGGGTACAAAAAGCAATGCATAGGCCTGATTTATGTCTACTGAAGTGACTTATCTATGGGATATACTACAATGACTTTGTCTCCCAAAGAAGGAAAAAAACTATCCAGATGAGAATTTCTGCTTTGAAATGCCTCATATGGACATCACTTCTCTGCCTGGAGAGAAGTTGTTCTGATATTTCAAGGCTTCTCTCTCACCCTATTCTTTTCACCCTGTGCTGTTTATACTGTTTCTAAAGCACGGTTTCAGCAGAGGAAAAAGCCCCAGCTATGGAGCTGGGGAGGAGGGAGCGCAGCCACTGGAAACAGTGTTTATTGACGAGGAGTGAAAGCATGCATGCAGCAGGATAATGAGCTTTTGAGCTCAACTGTGACCAAGAGGAACTGAGCTATCGCCTTCCCCGATCACTAATGAAACAAGTGTAATTTCCTCATCAGCATTGGATTCTGTTTAACGACTCCCTGCCGCTGCCATCAGCAGCCCTGTGCAGGCTCTGCACTGCTCCCTGCAAACTGCCGTTCCCTTCAGCCCATGCTCACTTCAACAAAACAGTTTGCAGAAACTTGATGGCCTTTCTGGGAAAGAGAAAGAATTGAGGCACGGAGATCAAAGGTCCTCTGTTACCTGTGAGGGAAACATCTCTTAGACGGATAGGTTAAGTGCAGCACAATACCTGATTCACCCTTCTCTCAGTGACTAACCCCTGCTTTTTCAAGCGTGTGCTCAGGCACTACTGGCTTTCATCCACACCTACAGCCTGGGACCCAAGGTGACGGGCAAGAGCAAATGCAGGATGTGTATCTCACCACATCATCCACAAAACCCCCAGAGATACCTGCGTGGATTACTGACGATGTTGCATGGATATACTGGTACCTGACGCAAGCTCTTCCCTAGTCTAGTGAAAGATTGTCACAGAACAGAGCAGCTTTGGTTAGCAGTGGTCAAACAATCTTCTCAGAAACAGCCTTTCCCCTGAAAAATGCTGTCTCATTGAAATGGAAATGTTTTACATGAGCTTGTCAGCATCAATGGAGTTATGGAAAGAAAAGTTCTGAAATGATTGCAAATTGAAACAAAGTATTATGTTTCAACTTTCTTGTTTTTTGTTTCATTTTGCCTTTCTCATCTCATTTAATTTCCTTTCTATTCTTTTATTATTTTAATACGTCTTGACATCTAGAACATGTTGATGTTATTGAAATGTTTCATCCTGATGTTTGCAAATTGAACTATTTCAAGATTCTGACTCCTCATACCAATGCAAGATGAAAACAAATGTCAAAAAATCAGTGTTCTGCGTGCATTGGAAGTTCTGGCTTCTGACCAGTTCTGGTTTTAGCTCTGCACCCTTATTTAGAGAAGACAGAGCCTCTTTCTTGTATTCACTCCTATCTGGACAATAAGGTTTGATTGTGTGTTAGTATGTTTCTTGAAGATACTCCCTGAGTGGTTATCTTGCTGGCTTCTTGTTTCCAATGTAGTTAAAGCACTGACCCGTGAACTTCCTTGGCCTGGGGGCATGTAACAAACCATTGGCAACATCATATTTGTTTTCTCTGTTCAACCTGGACTCTTAACAGAGGTTGCAAGCAAGCACAGAGGATCAATCTCATGAGGCCTATATTCTGTGCAATCTGTGCTCTGGGAAGCTTTAGTAACAGTATTTCTTGGTATCTGTATTTAAATCCTGGCACGTTTAGTCTTCTAATACAGAAACCACGAGGCATGAAGTGAGCCTAGCAGGCGGCAGGTTCTGAACAAATAAGGGAGGTAGATTTCACAGAATATGTAGTTAAGCTACAGAACTTCTTGCCATAGGTTGCTACAGATGTTAAAGGCTTATCTGGGTTCAAGAGACACTGTTTAATTTTGTGGAGGGGAAACTTACTGAGGGTGTTTAATATTAAACAGAAAGATACTAAGTCTGGTTAGGAAGTCTTTGAGCAGCAACTTGGTGGAGGCTGAGAGGTCTTTTGAGAAAGTACTGATGATACGTGCTTGCTCTACTCTTATACCCTTCCCCAGGCATTCAGTTTTGGCCCCACGCAGAGAGTAGTGGCTGCAGAGATCTGCAGTGTGACCCATTAAAGTCAAGTCTTATGTTCCTTCCCAGGAAGCCTCTTTATCTCCAGCTTGTTGGCTTCAGTCACGTTGGAAGACGGGAATTAGAAGGGCTGCCAGACTGGGTCTGACCAGTGGGGTATGACTGAAACAGCCAGAATTTGATGCTCTTTGGAAAGATGTAGTAACTACTGCAGGATGCCCAAGTAGGCCACTGGAGAAGCTTCCTCTAATTGAATGTTGGCATCAGATTGAATGTAAAGATATCTATTTGACTTGAAAAATCTTTTTTTCTTTGATGTACAACTCAACTTTTTTCTTTATCATCCTGTTCCTTTTCTTTTGGGGGATATTAGTGTGGTTTGGGGGACACTGCTGTCTTATGGATAAGTAGCTGCCACATCAAGGAGCTAAAATACCTTATTTTCAGATAAGTGACCTCTGTGATTAGTGATTTTAAAGTTTTTGTCCCAGTTTAGATGCCTGTATCATCCTAGTGATGAGGATGTTAAACTTACATAGCAGTTGCTGAACAATTGAGAAGTTGAAAACAGAAGTTGAGAAAAGTCTAATTTTTAGAAGTACTTACTCAAAGAGTCAGCTATTTTGGTGTTATTAATCATTTTTATATGCCATGATCTTCTATAAGTTCTGACATATAACTGACTTAAATGTTGGCAACAGAGTCTACCTACTGTTACAGGCGTGGGGAGGGAAGCATTGATTGATTTATATTATCTTAGTGCTTCTCTGATTCTGGAGCCAAACCATCTCCCTGAAAAATTTACTGTAGAAGAAGAAGCCTTAACATTTTCCAACTCTACACCACCCCAAAAGTTCAGCAAGCTGTTCAATTACACCAAGACTAAAGTAGGAGTAAGGAGGGGAGCAATCCACTGTCTTTTCCTGATCTGGAAGTCCATAACATCATCTTCACAGCATAGGCTGAGATTTTGTTGTGTCTTACAATCATAAGGAGTAGGCAGCTTGCTAGCTCTGGAATTCAACCATAGGCATTAGCCAGTACTTCATGGTCTATAAGCAGAGATTTGTCATCTAAAGATGTTAGGACTTTGACCTGCAAACATTTCCTATCAGTGATATCCTCACGGTCTTCCCTGCAGTGTATGTTCATTTAGCTAGCTCTTCTGAGATCTGGATGAGGGTTAAGTCAGGTTTTTCACTCATAAGCCCTGGAAAATCATATCATAGTGATTTAAGAGCTTTCTGCTGCTTCATTTCTGGAGTCATCTCTTCAGTAGAAGAGGTTGCAGAATGGACCTGCTCATTAGCCTTCACGACTCACAACCCAGGGCAGCAATGTAAACAAGAATCGGTGGTAGATGAAGTTCTGAATTATAACCTAACATGGCAGAGAAATAAAAATCTTGCCTCTTTATTTATCTGCTGGGGATAACTGTCATCAGAGAAGTGGGGAATAAAGCCTGGGGTAATAGACTCTTCAGTTACCCTAGGCTAAATGGTTCTCTCTTCTCCCTAAACAGTGGAACAATCCATATGCCAAGAGAAGGTATTTCTCCAAAGGCATTGGGTAGCAAACAAATGGCTTGCCTCTGGAGGTAGGATTAGGTAGTTAGTTTCTTGGACTGCAGGCACTATCTTAGAAGCAGGAGGTGGGGAAGTAGTTGTTTGTTGAAAGTGAATAGTTAGCTTCTCCTGATATGCTGTTAATCATTGCTGAGTTCTTACCTAGTTTAGGCTATGGACAGTAGGTCTCCAAAACCTGCAGGTATTAAATTACCATTGATGATTTTCATTTTGATGCCCTGGCTTTAGATAGGAGGTAAGTTGTTACCCAGAGTTAGTGGATAGCTGAATATCCTGAGCCGTGGCCAACACATAATAATCTGCATGGGTCATTGGAAAATAATTACATTGGTTAATGAATACTAAGGTTAATTAATTACCAATTAATCACCACAGATTATAGATAGCTAGTTGCCCATAGCAGCAGTGAATCAGTTACTAAAAGGGAAGAGATACATTACAAAAAGGGTTGTTAGCTACATTGGTTATAGGCACCTGATGATTTCTTTATGGAAAGAATAGCCCTTAGCCAACTGTGAAAGCTCTTACAGTGCTGCTATACTGTTCAAACATGTGTGCTCCATTAGTGGGGGGGCTGACTTACCAGGAACCATTCCTGCAAGAGTTGAGGTTGGGTAGCTGCCTTGTCCAGTTGGGGGAACATGGGGTGGGTAGCCAGGCAAGGTGGTGCTTGCCATATCACGACCTGGAAAGGGAAAGAATCAGGACAGATGATCAATAAGAATAAGGTCTTTCAATGCTGATTTGATATCACCTTTTGTCCCACCATCACATGACTAGTAGCTTGATATACAAGTGCTGTGCAGCTTTCTCCTACGTGAGTGCTGTCCACTGAAAATTTTGAGGGAAGCCTGTGGCACTTTTGATCTCACACTCTAAGGATGGAGGTTAAAACTTAGCCTTGTGAAGCTCAAAAGAATTTGTTTTGTGTCTTTGTAGATTTTGCATCTATTTTAACTAAATCAAAATGGCCCTGAGCTGCACAGACAATGCAGCATATTCCCTGCCAGAGTAGCTGAGGTCCTGTCTAGATGCAGTGGATGCAGTTCCAAAACTGTGATCATGTTGCTTTAGGGCATGATCATCATGCAAGGCACTGGAAAGGGATCCAAGAGTTTTCTGTGCCTGTGTCTCTTCCCACCTCTGCCATTCACCTGTTGGTGATTTTAGGCAAGTCACTTCACCTCTCTGTGCTTCTTTTTACACTGTGAACTCTTTGATGCAAGGCCACTCTTCTAGTACATTTGCACAAGGCTTAGCAGGAGATCAAGACAGGTCGGACTCCTTCTGGGTGCTGGTGTAATATATATGTATAATAATAATAGGATCATGCAAATTAGAGTTCCACTTCATTGTTATCACAAGCACAAGATTTTGTTTGTGATGCTTAAGTTGTGATATCTTTTCTCCGCCAAAGAAGTAGAGAGGGGTGTGGACTAGACTGCGTGGATGATTGTAGTTTATTTTTCACCTCTTAGGAAGTGCAGCTGGAGGCTTCTTGGTTGATGCCAGAGGCATTTCCTCATTTGGACCCGTTAGCCTGAAAATGGGCCAGCCAGAAGGGCATTTGCTGTTAGTGCTTATTGCATTTAAATGAACTAAAATCATCTCAGAAGCTGCTGGGAGTTTCAAGCCAAAACAAAAAAAAAAAATTTAAAAGACTAAATAAATTAACATAATCTTTCCCCTGCAGCTGCTGGGAGATTTACTGCTCAACCTCCACTGCTGCCTGTTGAGATCTCAGCCTGTTCCAGGCATCCAAAGCCTTTCAGATTCCCCAGGTAAACCAAGAAGTTTGTGCTTTTTGTTGTTCCTTCATGAAATTTTGTCTCTCCTGTCTGTTCTAACTGGAGGGATGGAGTATGATTCACCTTTAGAGGTGATAAATATGGCCCATTAATACCACTGGAGTTACTGGAACTGTACTGGGATATGAAAGAAAAAGAAGAGTTGGTTTAGCTCTACTAGTGGCAGAATGATAACTAATAAAGCAGGCCCTTGAACAAGCACAAACCTTGGATGAGGAATCAGAAATAGAAGCTAAACAGCAAAGCAAAAACTAATCAACATATCAACATGGAGCATTAACCTGTGGGGAGGAGGTTTCTCTGGGCTGAGGTAGGCTAAACCAGTGTTGTTCTTTTCATAGGTCTTGACTGAAGGTTACTGAAATGGTTTGCTCAAAAAAAAAAGCAATGCAAGTTCACCCTTTCTCCCTGAAGAGGTTCCAGATCAGTGGTTGATGTTCCTCTTAGAAAATGGCACAGAACAACCAGACAAAATGTGAGCCAACTCCAGCCACTCCCCAATATTGATAAAAATAAATATATAATGCCTCAGAGATTTATATTCTACACTCCTCTACTCTTTTATCACCATCATTCCTTTAGTGATTTGTAGCTGTGTGTTAAGCTGTATGATTAACACCTACTAGATGTAAGGGGTTTTCTTTCCTCACATTCTTTTAAGGCAAGGAAGTTTTATGCTTAAAATTCATGTTCTTTTAGTTTCATTTATTGACTAGCCTGAGAAATAACAACAGGTGATGAGTGAGAAAACAGTGTCACTGAAAAGTTAGAACATTATGTAGCAGCACGCAAAATTAATTCATTTTGACACTTCCATTCAGATGGGAACACATACACACTCACTCTGCTACTCCATCTATGCACATCTGCCCCTGTGTTTTTATTCAGACATGAGTGCACAGAGGCTGATGTTCAAAATTCAGCGTGGGAAATTCATTGGGAAATGATAATCTGTCAAAATCCCAATCTTGAAAAAGAAGATAACCAACAAGCACAGTATCAGCAACATGTATAAGAGTCCCAGAGAGAGACTCTTAAAATGCTGTTACATACAAGCAGGTTTGATATCACCCCTCCTCTCATTACCTCCTCTCATTACCAATAGTTAGAGAGGATTTTTAAATTCTTGTACTCCAGGGCTACGGCAAAGCTCACATCTATCCTGCCTTATAACATGCTTCCAACTCCAACCACCCTTCTTTCTCCAAGAGCCTTCTGAGTGAGGAACAGCACCTCCATCATGGTGACATTATTTGAGCTTTTGAACACTTTCTCCCATAAGGGTCCTAAGGCAGGTGCTTGTCCTGAAACACTGTGCCTTCTAGGCTAGAGGGTGGTCAGCTATGACTGCATCCCTAGAGAAATATATTGTTGGAGACAGTCTGTCAGGAGAATCCTTGGCTTAAGAAGTGCCCAGAGCTCAGGGGTGTTATGAACACAAAGGTCTTCTCTGCTGTTACCTACTCCTTTCCTACAGCAAGGCTTAGAAATGCAAATCTCATCTAACAAAACAGAGGGAGGATGTTAGGTCAAAAGGGAAAAATAATACAGGAACATGAAGGAGGCAGAAGTGCAAGATGTTTCCTCAGCATTAGGAACTGTGGGTCTGTTCTGGAAAAGCCTAGATTACATTCTTTGGCAGCCAGGTTCCAACAGCCTCAGTGGTCACCTAAAATGATACCCACTATTTCATCCAAGCCACCCCTGATCTTCTGCAACGATGTTCCTTCAGCCACCTTGCACAGGAGTTTCCACTAGTACCTGCTTGAAACTTGTCCTTCCTCCCCATCCTCCCCTCCAGCTGCTGCTAAGTGCTGCCATATTCTGAAACCTCTTTCTTCACTTCTGTCCCTCCCTTAAAGGCCATGTACCTCAAGTCTGCATTCCTTTGATGTAAGACATTATAGTCTCTCACCCACCCTTCCTGGTCTTGACATGCAGACATGATGCCATATTTCTACTTGATCTGCTGTGTGAAGGCACCAGCTCACACTGACACTCTCAAACCAGGCGATTCAAATATTGGTCATGACATAGCTAGGGCAGTGCTCACCTATTTACTACTGGCTTAGTAGTTGGTGCAACCCAGGTTGAATGACCCTGTCAGTCCTAGAGCTGGGTAGGTTATTCAAGGTGCTATCAGTTACCTTAGGCTGGCACACAGTACTCTTGCTGGGCCTACAGTGCTCAGGGGTGTTATGGCTATTGAGGCAACACCGGATTTTGCCGTACGAGTGTTTTTATACTAAGTCCCAGATGCATTCAGCTGGGACACCTAGTCACTTCTAGCTAATTACAGCTTCTTCTCCCATTTTATTCTAAAAAATAAAGGACAGTCATGTAATCTTTTTGAGACTCTCCATGGAGCTGAGAACACGTGCTGCATACACAGAACTGGACCGTGGTCGCTGTGCTTCCCACTTGCACTCAAAGAGCATTTATTGGTCTCCCCGTCGGACGAGACTGAACCCCTTGCCTGCAGCATTCCCACTCAGTTTGTGGCCAAGGCCAGTTACCTGCTATCAGAGGCTGGCTGCTGGACTGCCCAAAATGGGCACCATGATGAAGGAAGGCACTGTAGCAAGGCGTGGACGCATCGTCTGAAAGGGCCATGTGGAAGGGCTGAAGATCAGCCTGCCCAGAGCCGACCGGCGTGGTGGGGGTGAAAGGGGTGAGAGAGGCTCCATGAGGCTCTTGCTTTATACTGAGGGGAGAGGAGAGGTTTTCTGTGGTAGGGTAAGGGATGGACACAGACAGACAAAGGGAACAGGGGGAGGAAGAGGAGGGTGGGGAAGGGAGGAGAGGAAGAACAAAATGGGTAAATGAAAATGGAGTGGTTAAAATCTACAGGGAAATTAATTTTAAAACAAAAATAAAAATAAAAGGTTAGGAGTAGATCAGAGGAGCCAGTGCTGAGACAACAGCAGTAAATGCACCTGGGGGCTAGGCTCTGACTGCAGGGGTGCCTCTGCAGGGGCAGCAGGAGATGAGGAGGGTGGAGTGCAGTGGCAGATGGGAGGAATGGGATGCGGGAAAAGGAGAGGTGAGGGAGGGAACATGCAGGAGAGGGAGGACAGGAGGAAGCATAGGGTTGGGAAGGAGAAGAATGCTCTGAAGCTTCTGTGCTCCCTTTCCTCCTGCTTTCGCTCGCTGGACGGGGGCGCATGAAGATGCTACACTTACACAGTCTGACCCAGGGAATTATACCACTCTGTCTCTTCAATCTCAAGGTAACCTTCCCCAGGAGAGCAGCATCATTATGAGCATCTATTAAACAGAATGCTCAGGGTAATGGCCAAAGCATCTCAAGCCAAGCTCTGTAAAAGCTTCAACAAAAAAGGTGCAGCTGAAGTTTGAGGTGGTTAAAATTAAAACAGGACTTTGCAATTGGTAGGTGGATAGACAGATAGATCATGTCAATTTGTCTTGTTTGCAGTGGCACACTTTGGAGCTTTAACCATAAAACCAGTCAGTACTGACTCTGGTGGTTGCCTAAGTATAGTGTTGCCAGACAAATACCTTCACAGAGGGATATAATGGAGGAGAGGAAATAGGGGGGATGTGTAAAAGGTCTTGTTTCCATTGTTGTCTGTATTGGACCTCCACTTCTGATGTGCAGATTTGCACAGGCACAAAAGATTAGCTTTGAAATAGCTCCTAACTTGGCTGCCAACTAAAAGAAACTGGAGAACTAGAACCCTGTGGCCAAAAGCATGGGTACTCCAGAATACCCATGGTTGTTGGGTCAGCAGTAACAGAGTCTTGTGTTTCAACACTTGAAAGGGAAGTATGGATGATGTGATCAGATTTGATGCAAGTCACCCAGCAAACCATCCACTCTCAGGTAAACAAATTAAAGCCAATAAAGGAAAGCCAT